CTGTTGAGTTAAGCGAGGGGAAGACAAGTTTTCTTGCCGCCGGACCGATGCCCTGGGTGGCTCTCTAGGTTCGGAGCTGGCGAAGCAATGTCAGGAGAAGTTTTGCAGTGTTTGCCCGTGAAGGGGCTGTATCCAAAGCTTTTCGAGGTGCCCCTTTTAATGTGTGTCTTCCTCTTCGTTCTTCTAGCATGAAAGATTGGAAAACGAGACTGAGCTACTTCCTGCAAAACTCCTCCAACTCTACTAAAATGAAATCTCAGAAAGCGGGGAAACATCGCACCTACTTCAGGTAAGCTATGAGAGAGGCTTTGTTTAAGTAACTCAAGTGTTCTACAAAAACACTCAGCCTTGAGCAATGGAGTCTAATGTTCTCCATCTTTCTGCAGACCTTCCCCTGAAGAAGCCCAGTTGTGGTCAGAAGCCTTTGATGAGCTTCTTGCTAATAAATGTAAGTTTGTCTTCAAAAAGTAACATTCAAGAGCAAAGGGATGGTGACGTTTATATGTCTGTGAGAGATTGCTTCCTTGTGTGTCAGCATTGTACCTTTCTAATGTAAATAGCTTTGGTTCTGGGCTTGGAAGCTAAATGCTTTAAACTGTTTAAAGCCTGAGTTCACAGAAGTGTTCTTCAGAAACATTGTAAACTAGTACTAAAACATCAAGAATATTTCACTGTAGTGGATATTTTTCCTGTAACTCATGTAGCTGAAATCATACCTACTGCTTTGGCTTTGCCAAATGTGAAAAGAGTATTTGTTCACTGCTCTTGCTGCTTAACCAGGGCAAGTGCACTCAAATAATTTGGGAAGGACTCTGCAACACAGAAGTTTAATGATTTCAGGGGTTTTACTGTAGCTCTACAAGAAAAAACACTCAACAGCAGAGCAAAAAGACTAACAAATAGTATTATCACTTGCTCTTTGAACTTGAGTCATCCTTTCCATTGCAAAAAACTTTCCAGAGATTTGTAGCACAGTCATAAATATTTACTCCAGTGTAAAGGTTAACACAGGAGAACCCATTTAGAGAGAGGGGGTTTTAATATATATGCAGGCATCACAAAAGGGAACATACTGACTAGAAATGGCTTTCATTTTTTGTTTACCTAAAAAATGACTCAAAGTAAAGCCTGCCAAGCTGTTAGAGTGTTAATTTGTTTGCATACATAGATGTGGGTTTCTTTTTATTGCTATTATATCCCTGGAAGAAGGAGAGCTGCAGCAAAATGTTTTGGTAGAAACAGGTGTGACCAGTGTGTAAATTCAAGATTCCAGAGTAGTTAGTTAATGTGTATTTTTTATTTTATTTTTTCCTAGATGGTCTTGCTGCTTTTAGAGCTTTTCTGAAGTCTGAGTTCTGTGAAGAGAACATCGAGTTCTGGTTGGCCTGTGAAGACTTCAAGAAAACCAAGTCACCCCAGAAGCTGACATCAAAGGCAAAAAAAATCTACAACGACTTCATTGAAAAGGAAGCTCCCAAAGAGGTAAAGAAAACTTATTTAAACATAAGTGCCTGTGCTATGAGTTCTTCCAGCCTTTCTTTATTTCTCTGAACTTGCTTTAAGATGCAGATGCCAAACTGCATTTTACATACCTGGCTGTTAGTGTCTGTGTCTGAAGGTAACTCTCTCCATAGCTGCCTTCTCACCAAGCTGGAAAGTGGTGCAAGCATTCTTTCAGAGAGTTTCCATCTTGACTGGGGAAAGTCAACAGCTGCATTTAACACCTGTAACATTTGTTTAGCACTGAAAGATAGTGTTATCTGAATTGCTTTGTTTTGTATAAAAGAAGAATTTTCTTAAAGGAAACCTCACTAATTTGACCCTGGGTCTTGCTTTTTTTACCTCTTCAGAAATGTATGGTGCATTACACTTACTTGAGTTCAGCTCTCAGAAGTAAATGTCCTTTTTCTCTCTTGCATTTCAGATCAACATAGACTTCCAAACCAAGAACATGATTGCGCAGAATATTCAAGAAGCCACACATACCTGCTTCAGTGCAGCGCAGAAGAGAGTTTACAGCTTAATGGAGAATAACTCGTACCCGCGGTTTTTGGAATCTGAATTCTATCAGGAGCTGTGCAAGAAGACGCCCATCACCAGAGCAGCCCAGGGGACATGAGCGATGGGGAAGAGCATGAAGAAGCCTCTTGGCTGGTGAGGAAGCAAGCCACAGCTTGTGCCAGCATCCTGACCTGAAAGACTGAGATACCGAGTGCTCAGTCCGTTTGCCACAGCACAAGGACAAATATTGACTTTGGTGCAAAGCTGATGGCAAAGAGCGATGCTGCTGGAGGGCGTTCAGAGGCGATGGCAGCCGTGTGCCAGCCAGCCGCTGGCGGTGAGCTGCTGTGAGGGCTGCAGGGAAAGGTGTCTCCATGTGTGAGACTGTATGGTGTAAGAGTCCTTCTGTCACAGCTGAGGTGGTGATGCAGCAGGTCAGAACAGAGCTTTCTTCTTGTAAACAGAAGCTGCTCTGTACAGTTGCGCAGTGCTGGGAACTTGAGTAATTGGTTGCATATTTATTTTTTTCCTAAACATCAACCAGTGTGGTCATAGTCAGTTGCTTGGTGTGTTCACACTGGTTCTGTAAGCTGCCTCTAGCTGCAAAGAAATGTGTTTGGGTTTCTGTGTGACTTCCAGACAGTAACAGCACTGTGCAGCATGAAGTGAGGAAGGGCTGGAACTCAGTTCCCAGGGGAACAGGTTCTGCAACTAAGGTATGCAGGGCTGGGTTGTGTCAGCAGGGCTGCACAAGGCCAGACTGAGGGCAAAACTTGGCCAAGGCGAACAGGAGCTGCATAGTATTATATTTTATATTTGGATTATGATTGTGTTGAATGCTGCAATGTCATAATTCTGTCTTGAGGACAGCAAGCTTCAGTGAAGTCTTATTGTTTTTAATAAACTTTTTTGATACAAAGCTGCTTTTGTTGCTTAACTTGTTTTGCACACACACAGATACACTATCTGGCACTAAACTCCGGAGTATTGGGACTGCATGTCCTGGATGTGATCTTAATAGGGCTAACTTTAAAGTGGTTGCTTCTTAAATCTACCGGAATAGAAATAAAAAGCTTATTGGGGAGACCTATTCTGTTGCATCCTCTGTAATAACCACCTCACCAGGAAACCAGTCTCCAAGACCATGCAAGGCACATGTGTGGATAGACATGACAGATCACCTAGGAAGCAGCTGTATTGCTGCTGGAGGTCAGAGGATGCTATTTGGAATACAGGCACCAGTAGTACAGTTGCTCAAGACCTCTGCTTTAAACAGGGCTTTAGTATCAGGCAGTGAAACCCATGCGGAGCCAGCAGGGGTGATACTACAGTAAAACCATTTGACTCCTGTTAGGCAAGTGTTTCTTAGGAGGAAAGTCTGAGTGACAACATTCAAAACCAGCATTTCCAAAACACTCCCTGATTTGTTGGGTTTGTGACTTGTCTGAATGCTAGCTCTGTTGAGATCCTGGCTTCAGCTATTTTCACTCCAATTTTCAGGTTACAGCTTTAATTGCTTAGTTCACATATCCACAGCAGTTGCCTCTATAATGGTCCACTTCTCCAAGCATCAAGAAAACTCTGAACTGCAGCATTTTCCATTTCAACTACACAGCCAAAGATTGTTCAAAAGCAACTGCTTCATGCATGAACATAGGTGTTGTAGGGTACATAACAGTGTGTGTATGTATATACTCGCAGGGATATGTGTATCTCTTACACTGCCTCTGTATGTGAAAAGAAGCAAATTTGGTTCAGCCCCCACTCGGCTATTGCCCCATTTCTGGGGCTGTGAGAGCTAGCTGTCCTACAGCTGAACTTGCTGATTGGTTAAGTCCATGTGAAACAAGCACGAGAAAAGGTCTCAGCCCAATAATTTATTGCACCCGAGAAAGTTTTTTTTCCAACCAGGAAAAACAGATTTGGGTTGATAATTGCTTTTGTAATCTAATGAAATAATTTGAAGAGCATAAAAATAGCCAGAACTATACCTATTAATGACTCAGAGCCAGGGCAGGAATAAATCCGTGAAGCTTCATTTGCTTTGGTGAAGCTGCATTAATCTGTGCCAATTTGGGATGTGGTAATTAACCACTGCTGGTGTCTGGTTTCAGGGAAAGAAACATTTCTCATTTCAGCAGGTGCCAGAACTACTTATAGCACAGTATGTAGTTCAGAGGGGAAATTAGGTGGGGCCGTTAGGCAGGGCATCACTGCCTGAGGGCTGTTCTTGTATATTTTTAAGATTTGACATACGAACGTTGGTTTTTAGGAAGGCTGAGCAGGCAGCCGTAGCTCCCACAGAGCATGCCACTGTGGGAGCAAACAAACCAAGCCATGCAGAGTCCCTGGCATGGTCTGTCTGCAGTGCCCCAGAGCCCTGGTTTCAAGGCCAAGCTTTGCAGAAGTTTGGTGTATCAACAGAAAAACAAAATTAGAAATAAAAACCTTATTTTTGGTGAAATGCAATACATCTATGCTCACAACATTCCTTCCAATTATTGCTTTTCCAGTTTTTGATACAAGCCCTGTTTTCCCAGCTCCCAGGGGTAAGCTTCGCCGGAAAAAAAGGGCACTACAGGCACAGTGGGAGTGCTGCAACTTCTGCAAGATTGCTATGACCATTTCCTGGAGAAATAAAAACCCACCAGTTGCTTTAAGAGATGCTCATTCCATGCTCTGAGCAGGCTTACGGCTGCAGTTAAAATTGGTACTCTGGTGTCGGTATCCAACGGCAACCAGCAATAAACTGCTGGTTCCTCCACAGCCCAGCTGAACCATTCCACCTCCCACCCCGGGCCTGCTGGGCTGCCCACAGCCAAACTCGCTGTGGAGGCAGGGAAAAGACCGGTCTGGGGATGGCAAAGGGAGGGCGGCAGAGCTGGGGTCCCGCAGGCCAAGGTGAGGGTGCTGCCAACAGCTGGCCAGAGCATGGTCCTTGGTTTAGTTTCCATCAGGTTATAAAACTGCTCCAGCCCACGGCCCTGTTGATAGCCACTGGGGCAGAAAAATCAGGAGCATGGAGCCCAGCGGGTAACTGATTCCAGGAACTGTAGCTGCAGAGGGGCACAGGTCCTGAACAAGTCTATAAACAAGCTTAGCATTTTTAGAGAAAGGACTTGCTGCAAAAAAGCTGAGAAGTAGCCTCTCCGGAGGCGGTGGGTAGGAAGGCACCCCAGCTCTGCTGGCACAGCCTTCTGCTGCACAGCGAGCCCCATCTGATCCCAAAATAGTCAGTGCCAGGTCACGCACTGCTGATGTGACTGATGTTGGCATATAGAGTTCGAGGCTCTGGAACTGCTGGAAACCACCAGCAAATCTGGAACAAAGGCAACTTTTAGCTGTCTTCGTATCACTGTTTTTTAAACCACAATCTCACAATATTCGGTGCTTTTCTTAGATGCTAGGGGCAAGTCTCCTGCTCTCATATCACAAAACATACATTTCTCACCCTTATGATTATGAAGAAAAATTTGAAATTGCAACTGCACTATCCCTAGTAATTCCCCAAATGACAACTTAATGCAAAGACTATGTGGTCGTTTTAAAAAAGTTACCTCATTTTCTAAGCCAGTCTTGTGATTTTGGGAAACTAGGTCATGAGTTTCAACTGTCTGCATCCGGCAACAACTTGGTTTTTTAAGGGCTTGCACTGACACAGCAGCACAGGGCAATCTGAAGGGGAAACCTCCATACTATCAAGAAGACAACGTGTAAAGTAATCTCCTAAAATACGACCCAAAGCAGCTGATCCCTGCCAAATGTCCTCTGGCCCAAAGGCTGGAGAGGATCTCTGAGAACAGGGTGAGCTCAACCACCATGCTGACTCACCGCTCCCGTCGGATGGGAAAGCAATGCCACTCAGTAAACAGATGGCAATGCAATGCTCTTGGTCCGTGTATTTATGTATTGTGGCTGCAAATTGTACCGACTATAAATAAAATCTGCATTTCCACTTGAAATTCCAGATCTCCATTTGGAGAAGGGGACACTAATGACGGCTTAAAGGGCTTTACAGGCACGCATATATGTGTGTGGAAGGGTTTCTTGGATGAGATTCTGTGACTTGGCAACTTGCGTGGAGCAGAAAAGTGACCTTTAGAAATAGTTTTAGGATCTTCATGGATTTATTTTTTTTCCAAATTTGACTTACTGTGATTCAAGAGGGAAAAACTAGTTGTAACCTGGGACAGCATCCCAAATCCATCTTCCTTCAGGTAGGAAGACATTACCAATGGCTCCTCCTCATCCCACTAGCACAGAAATACCTGCTGACCCTACTGGCTCATGTGTGCCAGGAACAAACTGCCAGGGAGCAGCAGGAGATGTGGATGGGACTGGCAGCAAGGCTATTACACCAACCCAAGGTCCATCGCAGATTCAGGCCAGAAATGGGGCTGGTGACAGACCTACCTGCATCATAGGTCCTTGATCCATCCAGGACAGAAAGCTAGGTATGATGTTGCACCTACATCAAAGCTCAGGGGAAACACATGGCCCTCAAGGCCGAGCTTAAATGGAGCCCCTGGCCGATGGGCAGCAGTAGTGGATGAGGGCCCTGGTGGGGCTGCTCAGGCGATTAAAGCCATTAGTGCCCTCAGGGCCATGACACAAATATGAAGGAGCCCTTTTCTGTGTGAGCCATATGGGCCTGTCAGCTCACAACCTCAAAGCAGTCTGAATTTTTGAGGAGGGTCTGCAGTCAGATTTGTGGTGAACACCCTCAGCAATTAGCCTCGGACAGTTCTGGAGGTGTGCTAACCGCTATTACCCTGAGCACTGTAACTGGGAGATGATGGCTGGCCAGCACAGAAACCCAGGGGAAAATAGTCCCTGTTATCCTATGTAGGAGTTTAAAATGTGAGTCCTTTGGCAATCTTTCATTAAAATAATCGTTTAGATCAGAGTTTCCAATAGCTACAAAGTACCCATAAGCAGCAATTAAACAATGTTCCATTAAAAATATTAAATATTCCATTCAAGATAATCTGATTGACAGAAATGCAATACTTATGTTCTCCAGCCAGTTTTCCCACTTGGGATCTCATGGAATAAGTTGTGTTTCTGCGTTACAGATTTAGATCAGAGAACAGCTCCGTGGCTTCTTGGATGGGAGCC